GGAGGAATAACAAATGGCCCCTTCTCGTCTGATCATTGTCTTTCGAGGAGCTCAGTCCTCCTACCTCTTATACGTTTTAAACTGCTTCTTTCCTGACTCTACCTTTTCCTGGTGCTTTCAATTTATTTGGCGAGATTGAACGGTTCTGTTGAAAAGNAAAGTGAATATATTACAACAAAAACGAATAATTTACCGAGATGCTGTTGAAATTTAGAAAACATTTTATAGCTTCTATTATTTCGAGAGTACGGTATAGTTGAAACGCACAGAGTAAAAAATCATAAGGATGCCCCACTTGTTTTTCATGCCCGTTTCCAACAGTGAATTTCTGAAAAGAACGGGCTCCTAAAGTAGGTACATGCAAGTGAGAAAAAAAGTTTATAATACGTGACCGTATAGCAGAGCTGGAGATGAAGGTTGAATCAATGTAAATGTAAAATTTCTCACGACTCTTTCTTTCTTCGCTTCGGGATCTGAATTCATCCACCGCTCCGACTTGCGTCGCACTGTTGATCTAGAGTGTACTTAAAATTTTCTTTCTCTTCCTCTCTCGAAAAATGCATTTATGTATCCTTTTCTCCAAGTTCATGTAATTGGAGTAGGAGCTTTAGTATCTTCACATTCAAATAAATTTTAAGAAGGACAAAAAATTTCTACAATAAACGCAGCTCTAGTTCCAAATTGCTCTTGGATCTTCAAATAAATAAAAAATTCATTTGAGAAAAAAATTTGGAAGAAATGAAACTAGTTTTGAGTCTAACGAATACGCTTTACCACATTTTCTCATTTTTCGATAATGCATTGCGCATTGGTTTTGTAAAGAAATTTGTTTCTTCTTTTCCTCCTATTTGCTCAGTGGTAAAGACAAACAACCGACCGCACTACGCATCGACCACAACGAGCGAGCTAGCGACGTTAATTCCTCAACTGCTGTCTCGGTCTCTTACTCGAACTTCGAGGCTCTTCTTTCTCTTCATCTCGTAGTCCATGCAAAAAAGGGGGTAGTGAAAACTTTTCCAGCATTTGTTAATCAGATTCCAGGCTTTGGTTCTCTCTCTTTCACATACTTCTGTCACACTTTCAATTCACCAACTCTTCATCGTGGCCTTCTTTATTTAATATTTAAGAGAAGAAAGATTTCCCGAGGCTAAATATACAAGCTATTGGAAAAGTACATACTTCCCTCCTGCTCTTTTAAGTGAAAAAATATGTTTCTGAAGGGCGATGTATCTTGAGCAGTACTTACGAGCGTTGTTAAAAAGTGCCCAAGGTGATTTCTCGAATTTCATTTCAAGCCGCTCTGTAGAATATTAAATTTTTTTTCCAGATATATCAGTACCATTCTCTTCATTTTTTTTTTTTTTTATCATTATGTTAATTTTTGTTCAAGCTCATTTTCTTATAACATGGATAAACCACATTTTAAAGGTAATGTGTCTCGAGTTAACTCAGGCTTCTAAATTATCCTAATAGCGGAACTGAGAAACTGCGAACATAATGGATGGTTATTATATTAAACCATTATTTAAAAAAAAAAAGGTACCCCTTACATCTCTATTGTATCGGGTTTTCATACAACACCTTTCCAGAAAATAAATAGTTGGAGTAGACACACCTGGATTTTCTGCATGCATCCAAAAATCCTCAATAATCTAAGTGTCAGCCATTAATGTAGTTCATTTTTAGTAGTTACCTCAACTAGTTTCATTAGATTTTTCGTGGTATTTACACGACGTGAGCAATCCTCGCCCAATAATTTTGCCAACGACATTTTCACCTATGTCCCACCGAGCAGCTTAACGTTAATTTGATGGCCTTCCATTTTAGTGTTCACGGCTTTGGCTTTTGAGCTCCACTGCTGGACTAGAGGCCGCGGCACTACATTTTGATGGTGTTTCGATAGCTATTTTTCTACGGAAGGTGATGGTGCTGCACTTGCCCTCTATATTGCCGGTCTGTGGCTTCGCCTGAAGGCGTTTTCCACGCGATTGAGCAGCTTTACACCTACGATCGGGTGGACTGGCTCCCATTGGCTCGGCAAATGGTACTCGCATACGCGTAAACACGTGGCTCCGGCGAAGCAGGTAGTAACAGTAACAGTAACTGTTGAGGGGGTCGTGTATTTAAGGCGGAAATGCAACCACTGCCGCCGGTGGTGGTGGAGGTCAAAAAGTTCCATCTCGTATACACGTGGATGTGAGGGGGTCTGTATAAATACGTGGAGGAGGAGGCAAGGGGGTCGTTTGACCTACGAGGGGGCGATCGATTGCAAGGGTCTTGGCTTGTATTGGGAGTGTTGTGTTTACTTATTTCCTCGGGAGGACGAAGTAATGGATACGAGACGAAGGAAGTGGTGGGTTGTACTAAAAATGATGACTCATATGAATGATCTAAATGTGAATGCAAATTATTGTACGAAGAATTTTTTTTCTTGGAAATTAAAATTCAGGAAATGTGTCAGTTTTAGTCTGATGTTTCGATGTCCACAAAAATATATTTTTATGTCCCTCTTTCTTAGAAATTTTGTTGTGATTAGTTTTTTATTGATCTTTATACAATTAGAAACTGGTTTAATTTAACTGCATAAACATCTATCCGTAGAAAATAGTACCTTCGAAGGATTCAGCTATATACTCATTTAAAATCCTTAAAAAAAATCGATTTTGCAAGAAATTAAATATGTTTTAAGAATAATTTATATCACTACGAGTATTATTAAACTTACCATGCCGATATATACATTTATTGTTGTTATAAAATCTGTGCTTACACATTTACAAAAAATAGTGCGTTCTTCTCCTGGCCCTTGCTTTCATAATAATTATATTTTCTTGGTTTAGCATAGCTGGGATAAAAAGTCCATTTTTCGCACAACTGACTTGTGATTCTTCACTTGACGCCGGGAAGGCCATACTCTTGTGCTGTCCATCACGATTTTCCGGAAAATTGACTCTTCGCAATTTTTGATGTCAATATCCCGTCAAGCCTAAGCCCCGTAGGGGTGTAAGAAAAAGAAAAAGGAAGGTAAAAGCTCTGGGTTATGCTTGTGCCGTACTACGGAATTCGGTTTTTCGTCGCCCGACCCCACACACGTGGTACAAAGGCCAATCTGGTCTAGGGATATGAGCACTCGCTGCGAGCAAGTAGTCAAGCTCAGCGTAATGTCAGACGAGATTGGAAAATAGTTTATCCACTGTACGTGGAGTCTGCGGAAGATAGAAAGTGAACTAATATTTTGAAATACGTAATTGTTAATAATGGGCTCTGTAAATAAAGTTTAAATTCATACTACATTACACGTAATACATATGCAATGTAATTTACAATACGATCGTTTTTGACGGATTACCTATGGTCCGAAAATAGAGTGAGTTTATTTTGCAGATTTTCATTTGAGGTAAATTATTTCACGTAAAATATATTTAATAACACATAATAAATAAATGGATTGAATCTATCATGGTTATAAATGTAGTATTGACTTTGACACAATCATACTTTTTACTGTATACTTTTACTGTACATCATTAATCTGGCTATATTGATGTTGTCGAATCTTATTTTAAGTTTAAATAATTAACTCCATCATGAAAACTGTCATTCGCGTATCATTCATATTGAGCACTCAGTTATGTAGTGCATCTGTAAATCCAAAAAAAAATAGTTGCGTTAGTGAAGATAAAATATCAAATCAGGTAGAATAATTGTACTGCTTATCGATAAAACCACTAATGCCATAATTGATGATTGTAGCATTGTTTTGCGCAAATCTGTTCGAGCAAACTGTATTTTCACGCTCAAAGTGGTAACTCCCTGTAAATATAGATTCGTTTTTGCTTATGTTAGTGGAATACGTTGGTGTACAAATGTAAAGACTTGCAAGAGGTGTTATTGCATTTACTCAGCCTTAAAGCCGAAAAAGCCGCATTACTGAACCGCCAATCCACGTAAAGTAGATACCAAAGTATTGAACTACTATGATCCGCCACCCTTTGCCTTTTCTCTTATTTTTCTTTTTTTTTGCTCCAACCTTTGGATACTTGGCCTACGTCCAGAAATCCAGCCAAGCTTGCAGACAGATAACTTTGGTGCGTTTTAAAGGCGTGCTCACTGAGGTGCCTTGAAAAAAAAGTTATGAAGAAACACACATAATAACAGATAGTAGATTGCTTGATTTGGGAAGAAAATTTCGTGAAAAGAACAAGAGATTATTTTTTTCAATATCAGGAGAAAAGTGGTTCATCGAAGTACATTTTCACTTTTTACCTTATGACGTACAGATCATTCACAAAAAAAAATAACAATTCTCAGCCACCCTCAATGTTTACTATCGAATTTTTTTGCACATGGAGTGCTAGAGCGATGCTGTACATTTTTTTGGTTTTATTTTTTTTTTGTTACTGGTCATACTTTTGTATTAATATCTTGATAATTACAATCGTTTCATTATATTTTATGATGTGTCAAGATACTACGTTCATCAACTTTTTTATAAAAAACTTTCCTTGAACCATCTTATTGTAGCATATTCGCTATCGCCTAAAGCAGCGTCAGGTAACCTATCCTCATCGCAAGACAACATGCAGCATTGGTATCCCTTGAATCATCTTCATTAAGCTTGGAAATGGTCTCGAGGAGAGCACTGTACATAGCACCCTCCCCCCCTACCTCTCTCCTCCTCCCAATCACCAACAAACATGTCTATTTGCATGTGTGTGTGTGTGTTGGACAGCGCGTGCCAGTCTCAGTCGCCTACCAACGCACTCGTAAACATACTCCATCGTACAGCGCCGTAAACTGAGCTACTTACCCCCTCCCCCTAGCCGTCACTGCTTCCTCAATCTACGGCATTGTACAGCTACGGGCGATAGGACACAACCTCAGGACACATGATACTACTCGGAAACCAAGTGAGAGAATGGNAAATAATTTATAATCTTTTATTATTTAATGTGAATTAATTTTGTAATCAACAGTTTAACTTGAGTGATATTATTTTGCAAATAATTGGAAAAAGTGCTGACAAGTCAATTAAGCGACGCATCGTAGATGTCACGTGACTGATGTTATTTGTAAGTCCAGTTTATTGTCTTTTGCTAATAATAATTACAGAATGTTCAAACCTTCGATTTTGCTTTATAAATATTTATATAAAATGATATATAATACACTAAGTCTGATAATATGTTATTACTCTGGTCAATCGATTAAAAATCCATTAGAAACGCGATTAGAGAAATATTCTTTCATCAACTTCGTAAGAATATGTATTTACAAGTTGTGAAAGTCAAGCGTCGTACGTTACTGTCTGCCTAAAGTGTACAATAATGAATCACTTTCAGATAAGAAGTAGCATTTAATGTGTAAAACACCACATAATAAAAAAGACCAAATATGCATACTCTATTTTTCAAATAAAAATTGTTTTCTATTATATTATATGATATCTACAAATTGATTGAGACAATAATGTTTTACTACACCAGCAAGCTTTAATACACTCTAATTAGTTCACACGTTTATGTGTACTTGTGCACGAATACAGCATAATGCACTTTTTATCTGACATTAGGCAATTTGACAGGAAGACATCACCTATACTTGACTGTATCACTTGGCTACGAAATGACCTTGAATACACAAAAATAGCGCAAAAAATAATCGAGTGAGTAAGCAAATAAATATCAGTGAGCCAAGAGTACAAGGACTAATAAATCAAGTAATAAAAAATAAAAAAATAAATAATTCTCGTCTTATTAGTTTCAACTTCTGAAACAAAGGCAATGTCTCTTACATTATTGTCCTATCTACACTAAGCAATGACAAACAAATCTATGCTTTCAATCATTTTTATAGTATAAAGTAACGATAATATTTACTTATAGATGGCTAACAACTATTGCTATGTAATAATTTTTTTCTTTTTTTCAGATGTAAAACTATCTTTGTATACTTTTTGGCAATATAACAATGAATCGGATCATTTTTGCTTTAGTTTGTACAACATGCATATTTCAAGCTGTAGTGGTAATATCGTTTATATTATTAAATTATTTAATACTTAGTTCATATTTATGATTTAATTTTATATTTATAGGCTCTGCCAGATGCTTTTGAACATTTTATTGGTAGCCAAATTTTAGCATTAATTAAAAATGTAAGTAAACAAGATTTTGGATACGATGTTTACGTGATATATCCTCATGCCAAGATTAAAAAAATTGTAGGAAAACTTAAGTTGCACAAACTATGAAGAATTTTGTGAGAGAGGCCTGGAACAGTTTCAAAACAGTGTTTATGTAACTGCAAAGGATGCCAACGAATTGGCCACTCAGTTCTGCCTCGTAAGCCATGTTTATGTTATTGCTTATTTTTAAATAAATAATTTGGTTCAAACGTTTACTTTACGGTAAACAATTTTACAGGTTTTATTGAAGGCTTATTTGTGCACCAACATTGCAGAAGATCAAAAAAAAAATCCGAAGGAATAAGACTATAATTTCGAATGAGAAAATTCCCGTGAATACAAACGTTCATGCATTTACGTGGGCGTACACTTGTACGGTTTTACCTATTTGTTTTTATGTGCCAGAAGCAAGACTGAAAAAGAAGGAATAAAAGGAAAAAAGGGAGTCATAGCTTTGACTATACGTGTAAACCCAAATGGCTTCACTAACTTGGCCAGTCGCTTATGGATAACGATTATTGCAGAGGAAAAAAAGGCTATTAGAATATTGGCTGGTTTGCCTTTTTTTTTGCTTTTTTATGCGAAATAGTAGAGCTGTTATAAGGGAAAATCAGCAATTTTTTTTACTTATTTTAATAGAGATTTTAGTGAATGATATGAAAAATTTTGTACAAAAGTTTAGTATTTTCTGTTTGCATGTACATTCCGTTTGAGAAACACGTAAGTGCTAACAAAAAAATAATGTAATACAAGTGATAAAAAGTACGTACTGGCTCACACACAATTGTTTTTTGTTATTTTTAAATTTATCTGTCATTAACCAAAAAACTTGATAATGCTATCGAGAAGAAGTGAAAAAAATATATAAGTACATTACTCAATAGATAGTATCGAAAAATTTTGTCTGTCATAAAAGCTAGGGTGATCAGCTTTCTTACACAGCTGTCAATGGTAACTATATCAAAATATCAAATCTTAGGTCAGCAGCTAGTCTTATACTCTACATAAATAATGTATATAGTTATTTTTACGATTAACCTTTAAAAAGGTATAGTCTTGACAAATACGATACTTGTTTGTCATCTAATCACATACCTCTATCATTTTATCTTTTCCTACTCAATGTACCACAAATAACAGCCTTGAGCCCTTTCACGTGGCGCATGCGTAACTACATGAACAAGAACACGTTCATATGAATCTCTCTTTCAGCAGTTTTTTCTTTACTGATAATATTTTGATCCAATGAAATGTGCACAAAAGCTGCCGATTAAGGCAAAAATATTGTATATGAAAATTGGAGACTTAAATAAATTGAGCTCATTAGTCGCTAGTAGTCCAACAACATTTTGTGCATAGATTCAATGTTCAGAATCTTCGTATTAACTGTAGAAAAAACCGAATGTCCTTACTAGAATTTCAATAACTGATTCTTTGAATGATATTGTTTTTATATTTAGCACGATAATTACAGAGCCAACGATCAATCCAACAGTCATTGATGCAAGCTAATTCCATCCTCTGCTGGTTGATTTTTTGTAATGTTCTAATTTGCAACTGACTTCATCACCATCGGTCTTCTTCATAAAGCTAAATTATATATCTACTTTGAAATTAAAAATTAAGCATGTAGCATGTGCTTTTAAATATTTACAATTCAGTATAAATACGAGTCTAGTTACATTCATACACATGCATTGATTAATAAATGTTAGTAATTAAGTGGAACTCATTTTCAATTCAAGCAAATGAACAATAATTGGTTAAAAAATAAATAAATAAGTGGATATAAAAAAATTGGAAGACGCTTGAGAAAAAAACTGTTGAAATTATAATAAATATATTGTGCAGTTGTGTCTTTGTCATACAATAAAGTTAAAACTGTTAAATCATCTCAACACTTAGAAACATGCTTATTTAAAAACTTACCATTTTACAAAACAATACTGGTTCTGAATCCATTTTAAAGAGCTTCCACGATACTCGGTACGTGTTTATTTTACGTAAATGGTTATGTACCAGCCGTCGCACTTTTTCGATCACTAATTGATGCAACAGCACCCTTACAGCTGCAGTATATTTTACTTTACCATCTTTACCCAAATTCATCGTTTACAGTACTTTTTTTTTGTCGATCATCAAGGCTCATAATTTATGAAAATCTCTCACTTTAATTGTCTATCTTCGTTACTCTCCGTTTTCACAACCACACTGCACTGATTGCAAGTGGAGAAAAATAGCCGATTCGTTAACTCAGCAAAAATATCTTTGTGCATATCCACTTGTTGTAATTTTACTTGAGTCCTCTGCTGTTTTTCTTATTACTTTGAAAATTTTCTGGATTGATATTCTAAGACACAAAAATCAAGAAAACTCTAAATTACTTTACGCTTCATTCATCACATCGTAGGTTAACAGTGCACGTGTGTTTCATGAAAAATAAAATCACATAAGTATGAAATTCATCAACTATTTTCCGTAAAATATCATTACATGAAAATAAAGATCGACACTCAATGATGTCCAATTGTTCATAACCTAATACACCGCACGCTGTCGATACAATCAGGGGACGACACAAAGGTGGCGTCCCGTTAACCATGCGCACCGAGGATCGGGCGGTGACTGAAGTGTCGTTCGCCCTTGCTGCTGCTATTCTGCTTTTCCCACCCTCCTTCTCCCCCATGCCTTGCTCCACCTTCCCTTCTTTATCACAAGCTCGGAAGTTTTCACCACCTACGCCATGGCACACACTAGGTTGTCTTCTATTCTGTTTCCTTTTCTACCGCAAGAATGCATTAATGATTCGTTCAGTTGAATTTTTTTTTTCGTTACCTCACATTTTTATGCATCTTGCTTTTTTATGTGGTTTTGGATTGCCTGGTGATTCTTCTACCTTTTTTTCTCATTTATGTAAATAAATGTACAAGTTTATCATTTGGATGCTTCTTTACATTTGAATTGGAAACAATACTATAATATAGAATATAATAATGGTACAATAATAATTGGGAGTTGTATTAATTTTTAACTAACATTCACTTTGTACATGTTTTCTATATGTCTATTTTTGCAATACTGCAAATCTCAGTGCATTATTTCAATCTACATTAATTTATTATTTTCGATAAATTTTTTTACTTACTTTTATCGACATAATTTTAAACGGAATTGCTCTATCTATGTTGAACGCATAAATTATGAATTAGTTATTTACGAAAACCGAGTTAAAAGTTAAAAATAATACAGATGTAAACGTGTAGGAAATGTTAAAATTGACAACATTAATCATTTTTCACAACTTTAGTATGAAAATGGGTAAAACTGTGAAATTACCAACACTTTTTAAGTAAAATGCGTTATAGACGTTATGCATAATGTAAATAAAAAATAACATCAACAGTTCTAAGATAGTGTTTAGCAACAAAGTAAAATTTTTATTACTTCCGAGTTACACAACGTTGGAAACACAGTACAAAAAAAATTTTTAACGTTAAGAAACGTTGAATAAACGTAAAACCCACGTATGTGATACGATTTCCAAAAGTAGACGACTACTTTATCGACCAGAGAGCACAAAAGTTATTTCTCGTAGATATTGAAAAAATGAATTACAGATATTGCTCGTGAATATCACTGGTAAAAAATAATGTATAATCTTATTGTAAGATTCATTAAATAAGTTAACTTAAAAATAATAATGAACATGTGTCATATTTTCACAGCGATTCCCAAACGAGGCTGTTTTAAGTAAGTCAATTACTTTAACCTTGAACGACTTCACTTACGTACATACATATGTAAAGATTAGTATGCTGCGAGCTTCGAGTTTCATTTAGTTAGTCATAACCGTTCAAGATACTCAATTTTTTAGTCAGTTTTTACGTTTATGCAAACTAATCTTTCAAAGTTCACAATTTTACTTCAATACTTGAATCGTCTTATAGTTCAACAGAAAAGCCAATGGGAAAAATCAATAATTGGGCACAATTTGTACTTACACGAGTGTTTTGGTATGGATTGTCATCGATTTGTAAGCCATGAAAAACAACAAAAGACAATTGGGAAAATATTATCGGTACTCTAAACTTTTGTCACGAGTTACACCACTTTTGAAAAGCTATCACCTATAAAAAACTAACTTTTTGTTTATCCTTCAATGGATTTGCTTATTCGAAGTGTTCTTGACATTTTTTTTCGAAAGATGTAAAGTAAAACAAGAAAATAATGCTTTCTTAAACTGTTTGGATCATTTATCAATACAAAAGGAAAACGAGTTCCAATCGCTTCCAACGTATCCTCTTCTCTCGTTGTTCGCATTGAGCTGTTTTACTGGTACGTATCAACGAAATATATCGTCTATGATTCCCTTGCATTATTTTCTTTGTTCCACCCATTGCGCGACGAGGACCTGAGAAAGAAAAATACTCAAGCGCTTTTGAAGGTTTTTTTCTGCAACGTCTTTGCCGTTGGCTATAAAACAGTGACTGAGAGGAAAAATAGATTGAGAAAAAGAGAAAGACAGATCGAACGAAAGCAGCTTTTGTGCATCACGTTACAAGCTTACTGAATACTTGATTTCATTTTTCTTTTTTTTCACTGCAGTTGAGTATTTATTTCCGTTGACTTGTTAAACTGTATTTATTTTAAAGACTGATCTCGGTACCAAATGGCTTAGCAATAATTTTTTTTTTTTTTTCATGAATTGCAAGCAAAAAATCTCAAATGACTTAAAAAAAAAAATATATTAACAATAAATTACTAATAACATTTAAAAAAAACAAAACAAATTTTGACGATAAATAAGATGAATTGTCATAATTGTAGTGAAAGAGAAAATAACAAAATAAAATAATAATGTCTGAATTTTAAAAGTTTAAGGTAAAAAAAAAGTTTACGACAGCATTAATCATTTGAGTGGAGGCCGTCACTGTTGTGACGCAACAGAAAGGAAAGTGAGAAACTGAAAGTGAGTTTGTTCGCAGCAAAGCCGGCTAACTACGTAGATGGCAATCTGCTTTGATGAATGCAACTTACGTGTTGCTATTTATAAAGAAGGTTGAGTTTAATTTTCCATTAAAAATAGTTGTATTTCACTGGAAAAAAAAAAACTTATTCGCAAGAATAATTTAAAATAATTTATAATCTTTTAT